TTCGGTTGTGATTATATTCTTTATATACTTTTTCTACTTCAACTAACATATTTAGTATTATTGTTAGAGGTTTTCTCATTTTTATAATATTCAATACTTAGTGTATTTATGTTTCTTATAAGCATATTACTTTTTGTGTATCAATAGATAGTTAGTGTTAAACCATAAATTTATAATTTTCAAATTAAGTAGTTTGTGTATTCCATATTATTTGTTTTTTCATTCAAGGAGAAAAATCATTCAAAATTTTTAAATGTAGTAATATTCGATAAGGAATAGACTTACAAATAAAGATCAAATNTTAACTAAAAATTTTAAAATATAATCCATATACTCACTGTTTTGATACTTAAAAAAGTGTTTTGATTTTTTATTATTTTATTAAAAAATCGGATATTATTGAGGTAGCTATTTGAAATATTTTATGTTAATATAAACATATATTAACTTGAGAATTGAAGTTTGGTCCATGTTTGCATTTTTTTTTTTTGCATGAATATGTTTGTAATTAATGCAGTAACATATTGTGAATTATTTGGGAAAGAGTGAAAAGTTTGTAAATAGATTACCAAAAATTTAAAAATATTTTTGTTCTAAATTGGTTTTTAAAAGTTTGAAAGAAGAAACTATAACCATAAAATAGTAGTTTTTAAAAAGAATTTTGGAATGGTTGTTATAAACAAATTTTCGAAATATAAATTTTAATTTTTGAAATTTATTATTTTAATTTTCAAAATTAATTATTTTAATTTAATTTGTGATAAATTTTATATTAAGAAAATAATTAAAGATTCAATCCATGTCATCTTTTTCTATAGACATGTTATAATTTTTCCATGACAAGTCTTAATTTTGAGCCAATAAGATTAAAACAAATAATTATTCTCACTAATTGTACTTCTCTTTTAATAGGAAGGGGTTCTCTGTTAATCAGCAGGACCTAATTGGTTAATCAATTATTTGAATGGGGGGTGTTTTTATATCTTAACAAAGAAAAAGTTATGCGAAATATTTTCTTTTGCGAGCGAAATAACGGCTATATTAATGTACTTTATCGGACGGTTTAGATTACAGGATAAGACAATCCTACAGTGGTCCATCTGTAACAAGTCTTATCCTA